CGTGAAGTTCGTGCCATGGCGATCCCTGGAGGTGAGAGTCTTAGTGGGTACCACCAAGGCATCCATATGGCATCCATAAGTATCAGTATCAATTGTTTCAGCTGCAGGTCTTATGATCTTTCTTCCCTGACCTACCTAGGATCAGAGGAAATCATGTTGGACCTGGGCGTGAAGCAATCCACCAAGCTGGCAGAGATGGCCAAGATGTTTGCAGAGGCAGCGCCCCAAGCGCAGGCTGCCAAGCTCTGAGTTGTGCTTTAAGATGCTTGAAGGTAGTTTCATCATAGTTTTGATATGGTTTCGGCACTCAGATGCGCACCCGCAGTTGATCGCAATTGTTGAGTTCCATCAATTTGTTCTGCGCGGTGTTCCGAAAGTATTGTGCGCACCTGGGTGGGTCAGGTGCTTCATGCCTCTCGCATGTAGCACCGCCATAGCCTGGCCGGAAGGGAACTGGCTGAAGGTTTGCTGTCGATGCAGTCTTTGATCCTAGACGTGGGTCGCAAGCAGGCTGCCAAAACGTTTTCGGAACAGACCTCTCAGCGAGCGCCTTCGGCAGAGATATTGTGCATTGCAAAAAGTATATTTGTCGTAGCCATAGTCGTGGTTGTTGCCTAGTCTAAGTGCTTTAGACCTGGAGCATCCGGGAGTATGTGCAATGAACATCAATTAACTAATGTCACAAGAGCCGCAGGGGCATTCGCTTGCTTTTGTGTGGCTCCAGCACGAATACCGACATATGTGTTGTTGGGCATGCTCTGTTCAACATCCGTACGGGGTATTGCTGTCTTGGACTGTTTAGCCACGCAAAAACAAACAAATCTTCTTCAGCATAAACTTGCAAGATTGAACACATGTTTGAACTGGACAAACATATACGACCTCTTTGGGTAGTACAGTACAGGGCAAAACCTGCTGATTAAAAATGACTGAGCCATGGAGGTGAGCATGTGCTCATGCCTGATGGATTGTTTGCCCCTATACAGGTGGCACATTGGCCGTTCCAGCGGAATTGGCAGCACTTGCCATGGGAGCCATCACATTTCTTTCTTGAGGTTGGTGCCAACAACCACGAGTTGGAGAGAGAGCAGCTTGAACCTTTGCTGCAGGATGGGCCGAACGGTTTCCTGGTAAGTTTTGAGCCATTGCTTGACAAATACAGCTATCTAATATCTTTCTCCAGCGGTGGAGGTGCTGAAAATAATGCAGCTGTAAACTTGGGCCTGCAGCATCGCAGGGGTTTGGCCCTTCCGTATGCAATTGGTGACAAGTGCGGGGCCGAGAGCACCGCTGTGTTCCATGTGACATCCCTGGATGGCTGCAGCAGCTTGCGGGCTCCCACTCCTGACTTCGAGAAGGAGAACCAAAGGGCTGGAATCTCCGGGATGTCCTGGCCTAGATGGGTGGTGGAACGATGTTCCAATCTCCAAGAGGAACGGGTTGTTCCCTGTGCGTCCTTGGCGACTGTAATTGGGCAATGGCTTGCCGGTCGTCATATTGCTCGAATGAAGATTGACGCCCAGGGAAGCGACTTGGATGTTCTTAAGTCAGCAGGACCATACTTGGACCGCGTGCTGTATGTCACTATGGAGGTGCATAGCAAGTTGGCTGCTCCAATTTATCATGGACAGGCGTCGTGTGAAGAAGTCCTTCTGACGATGAAACAACTGGGCTTCGTGTTGGCAGATAGTAGGCGGATCAGATCAGCTTGCAACATGACTATGCCAGAAAGTGACTTGGACTTTGTGCGGCGTGAGGTGTCACCTGCGTGGCGTTCTTTCTACAAAGACTATTCCTATTGTCAAATTCTCTCAGCTGCAGGGTCCTGCGGTGGTCCTCTCTGCCTCGCACCTCAAATTCGTGCGCAGGTGAATCGTACGGGAGCTTGTGAGGGATTCGTCCAAGATGTGTTGACCTTTGAGGCCGATGCATTGGGTATGGTTCATGTTTGGTTATCTCCAGATTGCTTGGGGAACCTTGAGATCCGCATGGTGAACCGGCGTGTCATGTTCTTCGTTCACCAGGGCCTCATCAAGCGCAAGGCGTGCTTGGCGCAGTCCAGCTTTATTCCATCCTCGCACGGCCCCATGGTGCGGCTACAGGTTGGAAGGCATGGGACAACTGCAGGTCCATTCAAAAGCAAGCTGGTGATTTTGGGTGGTCTCTTCACCGCTGCTGATGAGAGTCAGTCTTTGAACACCTACCTTGATGCCAGTGGCAGGTTTGATCCAGAGATATACTGGCCTCAACCTTGTCATGTTTTAGTGAATTCGAAGCATTGGCGCCGGCTGTCAGCAACGCACTTGCAAACGAGTAAGTCCACAGACTTTTGCATTTTGGAATCAGGTCCTCATGCCTAGGGCTCAAAGCCGGGGCTTTCCTTTTGACAGCAAGCACGCCAATAGCTCCTTCAACTTTACAGGTTTCACTTGGAAAAGATAACAGTGGTTTGGAGCCCATGATGTGCGGTGTCGCGATGCCGCATGCTGGTAGCTTTGGTTGGCATACCAGGCACACCAACTTCAGGGCATAGGGTTCTCGTTAACTGTTAACCTGCACTGAGCAGCCATTTGAAATATGGACTGGTAGGGTGAAAGCGTAGGGTTTCATAGAGTTTCGGGAATGCACACGCTGCTTGGTTGCAAGGGAGGAAAGAGTGGGGTGTTTTTGTATGTTTTTGTGGTGGATAATTTCGAATCTTTGGGCTGAAAGCTGCAAGGTCCGGAAGTGGTACTGGAAGTGGCTACTGGTCTTCTGATGCATGGGATCCTGATAGCCGAGTCTACACGGGCGCTGACATCTTCCACACCCACCGTTTGGCAGTGCAGAGTGATGAAGCACCGCCGGCAGAGCCATCTGAGCCACGCACAGAGGCTGAGCCAAAGATGAGGCAACTTTGCACTTGAGTAGCGGCATCCATCCATCTTCATACCCAACCATCAAATCACATGTCGCAAAACTATGTCTTGTGCTCGCACTTAAATGTGAAGTGGTAGCGTCTTGGGCCGTTGCAATAACGCTCAAGAACGATCTCAGGTGAGTTAGGCTTGCCATGGACTCGGGGGCGCTCCCCACTCATTTGTGGGCAGTGGCCTTGGGGTGGTTCGCTAGGGTACTGACTGAAAGGCCCCAGGAGGAACGACCTTGTCAGTGCCACTGCCGTTGTTCCTGTGTGAGTGAGGGAGGCCCTACTTCCTGGATTGCACTTTTGGTCTTGTTTGCATTGCGCATTGGTGGGGGAATCTGGTTTTGGTACACCAAGAGGGACATCCAGCCTGCCGGAAGCCCAAAAGGCAAGAAGGGAGTGTGGGGAGTCAGTGGCAAGGTTCTTTCGCTGACCGGCTAAGATGGAAGGTGGCCATCTAGCCCTTGTTCATTATGGCGAAGTGCCAAGCACCTGGCACGTTCGTATACTCCTTGGACACATCCAGGCAAGAATGGCAGATCCTCACGCCAGACTTCGACAGATACAGTGAGCAGCTTGATCACCTCAACCCGGACTATGCAGATTTCATCTATCTCGGAGCAAGCACCAACATACCTCCTCGAGTACCTGCCCATGAGATCTATGGATTCGCTCCTATGGACCCGGCCACTCTTGCCAACCACATCCACGGCTTGAAGCCAATGCAGAGAGATTGAACAGAGGACTTCCTCCTTTGGCTCCCATGGGTGCAGGACCAGCTGCTGTCGCTCCACCGCCACCGGCTGTCGCCCCATTGCCTGGGGTGCTAGTTGGTGGAGGGGCAGCGGCTGCGGCAGCAGTCCCTGGGGGAGGAGCAGCGATTGCTCCAGCCGGAGTTGTTGGTATGTGTTGGGTGTGTGTTGAGACAGCTGGAGGTTACAGTCGGGGGGAGATCGTGGTCACCGAGCCCGGAGTTTTGCCAGCAGGTCATGTGGTGATTGGGGAGAAGGCGTTAGTGCCAGCTAAGGATGGTTCAGCAGTTGCTTGTTTTGCAAAGAAGGTTCGTGTGTCCGATGCAGCAGGCTACAAGCTCGAGGACCTGCGAATTCTGCCCGTCACCTTTGACGCTCAGGGGGTAAGGCGAAGGGAATTTGCCCAAGCGGTTGCTGCAATGGTTGAGGGTTCCCCACAGGGAGGAGGTCTTCAGCTTGAGGGTACTGCAACAGCTTTGAATGTTCTCAAGTCACTTCGGGACCAGGCCATGACTCCAACTTCGTTTCACGAATTTTGGTTGCGAAGCGCTGAGATACCAAGGGGTGACAGGTCGATCTACGAGCATGAGGTGTTGTCGCGCATCCTCGAATCGATCGCGACGGTCGATCAGCTCAACGTCAGCGGCTTGCAAGGGGTAGAGCTACTAGTTCGACGCCTGCAGGTTATTCGTGAAGCTCACCGGATCTCTCCATCCAGCCCAGATTACAGCTCCGCAGAGTTCTTCATGGGTTGGAAGTATCGGAAGGGTGCGCATGGAGTTGATCCAGACCTGGCACATCACGTTGCTGCCGAGTTGAAGTCAGAAGCCATGATCCTCAAGGAGAGCCGCAAGGCCAAGGAAGAAGCGCAAGCGCGCCGCCGAAACCCCGGTGACAAGAAGGGGGGAGGCGGCGGAGATCAAAAGTGATGAGTGGCATGGGTGGCGCTGATTCGGCGGGGGCGCCTCCTATGTCTGCGTGTCCTGCCGGAGAATTTGATGGCCATGGCCGTGGGCTCAACCCAACTTTTCAAGAAGAACGGCGGCGAGAGCTTTTTCCACTGCCTAGGGCTTCCCCACCGGCCTCCGGCTCAGGCCTTTCGACATCTTCAAGGAGAAGGAAGGCTCCGGTTCGGGGTCTGGTTGAAGAGTCTAATAAAGTTATAGATAGTTTGAACGAGATGTATGCTCCTCAACAGGCCACTCCCCAGGGTGATTGCACTTTGGCACAAAGGGCCAGTCAGCATGCCATCTTCAAGCAATTGGCCCATCAACCAAGGGCCCAGCAACAGTGCAGTATGCGTGAGGCTGTTCAAGAGCTTCTGCAATGCGACTCCTCCTACTCCCAGGAGGATTTTGTCAGCACAGTGCGCCCCTATCAGCGAGACTTGATTTCCCTCCCTGAGACCGGCGACGATCCCGTTTCGTTGGACCAGGTTTTGGATGAGCATGGACAAGTTCTTGGTGATCCCCTGCGGTCTATGCTCCTTTCGGATGAGGAGTGGGGTGAAGTGCTGGAGAAGGGTGAATTGGTTAGACCGTACATGGATGTGAGATTGCAACATGACCAACAACTATATTAATATACCTCGTTCATTCAGGACCTACATGCAAAGGGAATGTTATCTTTCACCTCGAGGCCCCGGGAGATTGCGCCACCATTTTTTGTGAAGAAGAAGAATGGGCGTCTGAGATTGATTTTGGATTGCAGAGCAGTGAACATGCGATTCAAAAAACCTCCGCCTCTGGCGCTTGGAGCCGGTACATCTTGGGCGCAGGAATGCATCCCGGAGGGCTCCACCCTCTACCTGGCCCAATCCGACATCAAGGACTATTTTTATAGCTTAGCTCTACCACAAGATCTACAAAGCCTCTTCTGTTTGCCTGCTATCGCCAAGTCCGCTATGCAGGACTGGGCCTTGGATCTGGATCAGGTGGACTGCGATGCCGAAGGCTGGACATTCCCGATGCTGAGGGTGGTTCCGATGGGTTGGAGTTGGGCTATGTGGGTGGCGCAAAGGGTCCACACGCATCTGTGCATGGAGGCTGGAGGCCTTAGCTTGGATCGCGTGATCGTAGAGAACAAGGCACCCCCAGATTTGTCAGATAGATGGAGAGGTGATCATCATTCCGTACGCTGACAACTTGAATGTGGCAGGTATTGATGAACAACGTGTTCAACAAGTTAAGAACAAGATCGTTGATAGGCTTCGTGAGATAGGTTTTCGAGTACATGAAGAGTTGGAAGCATGTAGCATAGGACAAAGCCCCGGCTTCCTCGTCGATGGCGCCAAAGGTGTGGTGACGCCCATTCCGGAGAGGGTGCACAAGGTCAGATTGGCGCTTGACTGGTTGGCGAGGCAGCCCTGGGTAACTGGGAAACAGGTTGAACGACTCATTGGGCACTGTGTTCACTTCATGCTCCTACGTGGAGAACTCCTGTCGATTTTTAGGGCCATGTACGACTTTGTTCAAAAGAGCTATTTGCAAAAACGTCCTCTTTTTGCCTCAGCTGCGAGAGAAGCTAAGTGGGCATCAGCTTTGTTGGGGCTTTGCAGTGTTGATTTGAGGAAGGATTGGTGCGAGCGGATCACAGCGAGTGATGCTTCGTTGTCAGGTGTTGCGGTGTGCTGTCGTGAGCTCCCTCGAGATGAGGTAGCCGCGATAGGATCACAACGTGAGCCCTGGCGATACAAGTACAAAGAGCTGCCCCCACCTCGAGAAGCCGCCTTGAGTTTTGGTGACCCTTTCTCAGACCCTTCAACTGTGAAACCCTTGAAACATGGACTTGAACAACCCGATCCCTTCGAGTTGAATGAGAAGTTCATTGAAGTGCCCCAAAACGTCTTGCAACCCGAGCTGTGGCATGAGGTATTTGCTGTGCACATGAAGTATCCGGAACATATTACATTGCTGGAATCTAGAGGTGTTGCGATTTCTTTGAAGCACAAATTCAGGTCTGTGCAACATTTTGGAAAAAGACATTTGCATCTGGGTGATAACATGGGCGTGATCCTCATGATTGCAAAGGGACGCTCGAGCTCTTTTTACATGTTGAAGTGGTGTAGGCGCCTCTGTGCTCTTTTGCTATGTACTGATTCTGTGCTTTCGCCCCGGTGGATTCCCTCTGAGTTGAACGTGGCCGACAAAGGGTCGCGACGGTGGGAACCCCACAGAAAGAAGGATGCTGCTGGCCGAGCCTGGGAGAAGAGCAAGCTCGAAAGGGTTGATGAATTTTGCTACCCAACCCGAGCTAGCGGACCAGACCCTCGACAAGTTGCAAGCAGTACCAAGCAGGAAGCACCTCCTGCAAACGTGCGCAAAACCCACTTCGACAAGAAGCCGGCAGACAAGGCCAAGACTCGAGCGGAGATTGTGAGACAGAGATCAGATCCTCCTCGCTTCAAGGGCCAGACGAACCTAGAACGACTAGCGGTCTCGGAGGCCGTAGCAAGGGACCACACCAGAAGGATCAACGATCTGAGATTCTTTGCGAGACAGAACAGGATTTCCCTTCGAAGCGCGAAGAACTTGGACGAGGCCTGCGCTTTGTTTCTGAACAACATTTTCGAGCAGGGCGTAGAGCTCCACGAGGGCTCAAAATTTGTGGCAGCAGTCAAAGACGCGTTCCCAGAATTTGGCCACAAGTCAGCCTTGCCTCGAATGGTCAGAGCACTTCAGGGCTGGACAAAGATCGATCCGCAAAAGACAAGACCACCTCTCCCTTGGGAGTTGGTCGCCGGCATTGCAATGAAGATGCGAGCACGAAGGCGGCAACGTGCGGCCTTAGCAGTGTTGACCATGTTTTCGGCCTACCTGAGGCCGGGAGAGTGCCTAGGGATACAGAAGACAGACCTGGTGAGACCTATGCCAAAACAAGAGCACCACACGCTCCACCTGCATCCTGCCGAGAGACACGAGGCCTCAAAAGTTGGGATCTCGGAAGAGTCCATTCAGCTGGATACAGTGCAACTTCTTTGGTTGGGTCAGGCATTGGAACAGCTTCAATCGGACGGGCCTTTCCTTTTCAATCTGGGGCATGCAGAGATGGTCTCAGCTTGGAAACAGGCCCTGGTAGATCTGGGGCTGGAACACAACCATGCAGTCCTGCACCAACTAAGGCACTCAGGTCCGTCTTACGATCGTTGCCATCGACTTCGATCACTCATGGAGATCAAGGCACGGGGACGCTGGGCCGCAGATTCAAGCCTTCGTCGATACGAACAACACGGTCGGCTCAACCAGGAATACCATCGCCTTCCACTGGCGACACAAAGGCTAGTTCTGAAGCTCGAGGAGCAGATGAGAAAACTGGGCCCAAGATTTTCCACCCAGACCAAACGGTAGCCAATGGCAAGATTGTGATAGAGCTTTTTTCAGGGTGTGCACGTTTGTCACTTGCAATGGTAGCACTTGGATTCACTGCCATAGCCTATGACATAGACTATGGTCATGGCTGTGACCTGCTAGACCGCGGAGTTCAGCACGAGTTGGTGGGCTTCATCAAGCGACATAGGAACAAGATAGCCCTGATTTGGCTTGGGGCACCTTGTACATCATGGTCCCGAGCTAGGAGATTTGATGGCGGGCCCAGACCCTTACGGGATGACGATGTTCACCTGTGGGGTTATGATGACCTTCGCCCCTCAGATCAATCCAAAGTTCTTTTAGGCAACCGGCTTTTAGAGATCTCAAAGTTTTTCATCGATTTGGCTTGCCACCTGAACCTAGCGTGGGTACTGGAGAACCCTTTCTCCTCACGCTTGTGGTTGACCCCGCAGGCTAGAGCTTTGGTTGATTTTGGAGCCCGCTTGCATGAGACTCATTTTTGCTGTTTTGGCACTCCCTGGCGGAAAGCCACCGGGTTGCTGGAGTGGAACTTCCCTGCTTTGGCCCTCTGTGCAAAACAGTGCAGGACAAACCAAGGCCGATGCCAATTTTCAGGAAAGCGGCATTTGACCCTGTCCGGTCAAGACGACAGTGGTCGTTGGTTGACTCACGTTGCTCAACTATACCCCCGTTTGCTTTGCCAGTTGATTGCTGAACAGCCCTATCAAGTTCACAAGTGTTAGTGGATTTGGGAAAGAGGTGGGCAGCAGCCTGAAAAACCTTGGCTGCAGCCACAC